GTTAAGAAGAAAAGTCTAATTCCTCTTTCCAGTAATCTGGACTGACCTTAGTGATTTGACCAATCACTAAATTGATTGGCAGTGGTAGAATGTGGTAGAAGTGAGATTCTTAGATTTCTGAAGCAAGATCTTAAACACTGCAGCTTCCCCACCCGGGGCCTCTGGAGACTCTTGCTCTAGGCAGGGGTGTCCAACATGCAGTCTGGGGTCCGCCTGGGGCCCAGGGTGGCTATGAATGTGGCCCAACACAAAATTGTAAATTTACTTGAAAACTTTTTTTAGGTCGTCAGTGTTCGTTAGTGTTTGTGTATTTAATGTGTGGCCTGAGACAACTCTTTTTCTTCCAGTGTGGCCCAGAGACACCAAAAGGTTGGACACCCCTGCTAGAGAAAGGAAGTGTGAGAGCCCTCAGACTACCGTGCTAAAGGGAACCCAACTGGTCCCATGGAGAGACTGCTAGGATAAGAGACATGTCTCATCAGTCTCCAGCTGTTCTAGCCATCCTGTGCCAGGTGCTAGACATCTGCGCACAAAAGACTTCAAATAACCTCTGGCCTTTGCTTCCAAGTGTCTGGCGACCTAGGAAGGGACCCAAAGAAAAACAGTCCAGTTGAGCCTATCAGCTCCCAGAACCATAAGACATGATAGTGGGGTGGTTAGGTATGCAGCAATAGCTAACCCAAATAGGCTTATCATAATGGAAATTTATTTCTTGCCTATTCAGTGTTCATTAAGAATACAGGGGACCATCAGGGCAACTGTTCTCCATGACCTATCTCAAAAATTCAAGCTTCTCTGGTCTTGTAGACCAGACTCCTAGGTCATGATCCTTCTGTAAAAGTTCTGCAGTAGGAGAAGGGAATACTAGAGAAGCTGGCACCAGTGATCAAATGCTTCAGCCTACAAAAGACACATTCACATCCCTCCTGCTTGCCCAACATTGGCTAGAACTGTTACAATGGTAGGCCTAACTTCTACGATAGCATGGAAGCATACTGCTCTGCTGGCTGGGAAAGAGAAGGGAACTGATATGCATGCACCACATTTTTCTTCTCTCTTCTGCTAGTGCATCAGCTCATCAGAGAACAAGGTAAACATTTTCCAACTTGGAACCACATATTTTGTGTAACCATGGCTGCCCCACAGTGCTACCAGGGGAAACTACTCTAGGGACAAAATCTCTTTCTCCCAGAACCAGGTATCAATCTTTTTAAAACTATAATTCCATTATTTAAACATGTAAAGGATTGAGCACTGACCTAGTTACCTATTGCCGCATAACATATTACCCTAAACCTTAATGGCTTAAAGCAACATTTATTGATTTTTTTCCTAGTTTCTAGTGGTAGAGGATCCTCTTAAGCTGTTCCTTCTGGCGCTAGGTCATTTTTAAGGCTCAGTCATCTCAAAAGCAGGGGAAAGATCTGCTTCTAGGTTGCTTTTGTGGTTGTTCACAGGGTTTGTTTCTTCAGAGCTGTTGGACAAATGTCTCTGTTCCCCATGTTTTGGGGAACGGGAAGTAGCTCTGTGTTACCGGAGCATGCAGGGTTATAGGAATGGTGGACTATAAAGTGGACGAAACTGAAGCTGGATTGTGAAGGACTTTGTGTATCATGATAAGTGAATTTGACTTTATTTTAGGAAAAGTAGAGAGCCTCAGAAGCGTTACAGCATGCTGTTGCCTGCAAATAATAGTACATTACCTTTATTGAATCATAGCATGAGTTAGGCATTATATGTATCTCATTCAGTCTTCACAATCATCACATGCAATATGTTCTATTATTACCTGCATTTAAATAGAACCTTGGTGTTTAAATAGCTTTAACCCCAGGTCACATTGGTAGGAAGTGTCAGGCTGAGATGTCAGTCATGGTTTGACGGCAATCGCTCTCCTGACCCTGGTCTCTACCACTTCACCACACACTAGTTCACACACACATTCTTGATATGTTCTTTCCTACTCACCTTAGTCTGAAGGCCAATAAATTCAATTTTTGAATACATATTTTGTGTTAAATACAGGAAAATATTCAGCAATAGTGTCTTTTATTTTTATTATGTATTGGCTTTGGGTGTACAGCTTAGTGGTTAGACAATCATATAATTTACCTAGTGTTCCCCTCCATATTTCCAGTATCTCAACTAGCACCATATATTGTTATCATGATATTATTGACTATATTTCCTATGCTTTATTTACTTCCCCATGACTATTTTGTAGTGGTACTTCTTAGTCCCTTCACCTCTTTCACGTAGTACCCCATCTCCCTCTCCTATCTGGCAACCACTTTTCTCTCTGTATCTATGAGTATGTTTCAGTTTTGTTTGTTGGTTTATTTTGTTCCCAGATCCACACATAAGTGAAACTATATGGTATGTGTCTTTGACTGGCTTATTTCACTGAGCCTAATACCCTCTAGGTCCATCCATGCTGTTGCAAGCAATAGTTTCTTCTGTGTCTCAGAGATGCTCTCTTTTTAATTTTGGAAAATTTCCAACATACACAAAAGTAGATAGAATAGTAAAAATGAACTTAGCTTTAACATCACTTAATACGGTGCCACTTTTGTTTTACCCATCTTCCCTCCATTCTCCAAATTTTATTTGTGGAGTTTTAAAAAGTGAATTCTAGACAGCATATTATTTCAACCATAAATATGGCACTATTTGTAACCAATATACATTTAAAAATATATAGTCATGACACCATTATTATACCCAACAAAGTTAATAATAATTCCTTAATATTAGCTCCTATTTTTAAGACCCTTTTAAAAAAAAAAACAACAAATCACACATATACAAAAACTAAACTGAATAGAATGGTAGAATTCACATGAATGAGTTCTAGCTTTTTGAGCAAAATAAAATGTTTTCTATTGAGTTTAAAGGATTGATCTTGTTAGACAGGAAAGGGTCTCAAGGTCTGAGCAGTTCTTACTAAATGCTGTTCTTGCTAAATGTTACAACGTAGCACAGCACTTTGCAGATAAATGCAGCTGTAAACAGAATGGGTTTGACAGGAACTCAACCTGATAAGTGAGTGTAGCCATCCGCAAAGAAGACTCAACCTGTAATCAACCAAATAGTGTTTATAAGCAGTAGCTACGCCTCCCTTAGGGGAGATAGAGCTTTGGATATGAATCTACATCCAAAGTAAATAAGACCGTCTTGAGAAAACTTTCTTGACTAGAGCACCCCAAGCTGCAAAACCCTTGAGTTGAATAACAATTTGTATCCAGTAACAGTGATTCTTAGTAACATTTATTGTAGGAACATTTTCCAAATTTTTAAGTTTGTAAATTTGAGTCATAATTTGATAAGGGCAGGTTCCACATAGAATTTAGCTACTATGAATTAACACCTAATGCAGGTAAGACCTTCTCTGGAGGCAAAATTAACCTTTCTTTGCTATAAGTAGTGATCGTAGATTCATCTCACGTGCCCTGCAATAATCATAGTTATATAGCTATTTGTGTTAAGGCAAGGACAGAAATCACGTATCTTTCATGATATATTGATTACTGTCAACTAATGGTTGTTGGCACCAATTCAATGCCAACAAGAATCACCAACTTGGGGTGCAGTGAATAAAGAAACTTTATTCGGTGCAAAAAGGCTTAATTGTAATACATCATGTCTATGAAAACATCATGACTATGGAGCAGTCCAGGGAAAAATACACCCTTCAATCTTAGGCAAAAAGAGAAAATGTACCCTCAGAGCTAACAGAGAGTTGGCTTATATGGACATAAATCCCCACCCTTGGTCCCTGATTGGTCTGTCCTCATGCAAACGAAGAGTACAAATCCTTGAAGTTTGATTGGCCCAAAGTGCACTCTCCTGATTGGTCAGAATAGAAGGCCACTCTGACTGGAGAAGTGCAGTTCTACTAAAGGGGAAAGCTTCACTCCTATTGGTTTCAGTGGAATTCTAGGAACTCCTTTATTAAGGACTGGCTCGACCCCACTCTACCCCCCAAGATACACAATGTGGCAGGAAGTAAAGTGCACAGGCAGGTAGTTCAGTGCCGGATTCTCCCTGCAGTGTCGTTTGTGTGAGAAGACCCTGTGCAGAAATGGCTACTAGGCTGTTTTTTGTTTGTTTGTTTTTGTTTTTTAAATTTCAGTCCAGTTAGCTACCTTCTTAGTAGATGTCTTCCTTCTTAGGGTTCACATCACATTACTACTCAGTTTTATACCTTGAACACCTAATGAATTCTTATAAAGCACACTTTGAAAAGCTCACCATCCCTCTAAATGTGTATTTCAGTCACACACGAGTGTGGTGGCCTCCAGGTACAGATGTGCTAATGTGTATCTGGGAAGAAATTTGGAAATATTTAAGGCTACTTTCATTCTAGATCTAACAAAACTGTAGCTGAGTAAAGTGTGAAGTGCATTTAATTCCAACCGGTAATTTTCTTATTAATTCATTTTATCAGTACCCACGTTTTAAGTTTTTATAAAATTCAAATTGTTTTTCTAAAGAACAAAGTTCTGAAACTGCATAGTCTAGTTTCACAATTACCTCCAATTAGGCAATTATATTTCAATATACACATGCAGAGAGTACTTCAACCTTCCTTGCCCTTTTAGCAAAAGACGCATGCCCACTCCATTTTTCGTTAAACAGGTTTCCTTTGCAGTCCATTGTTGTTATTTTTGCTACCATTGAAGAGAGGATGACTTCTTAAATTACTGGTCATGCTCCTCTTTAGAAAAATCCATACGCGCCAAACCGCCTTCCTCCTCCCCGCTCCTTCCCCCGTCCCCATCCCTTCTTTACTGGGTAGCCCGGGCACACGCGGACCATGTTCTAACTTTAGCAACACCAGGTTATCTGTTTATTTTCAGTTTGGTGGTCCGGAGGAGTGGCAGGCCATTGCCTAGGCAACCGACACCCTGGGCTACGGCGGCGAGACCAGGAGGGAGGGGGCGTGGCCTTAGCGCGCCGGGGCTTTTAAGAGGCGGTGCCCGCCTCCGCGAACTACGGCTTTTTGGCGGATCGGCGGGGTGAACGCTAGGCATTCCGGCAGCCCCTCAGGCTACTTGGAGAGGCCCAGTGGTGCAGCAAGCGAGACCTTCGATCCGTTTCTACCTTCCTCCACGCGTCCTGCCGTGGAGCCTCGCTCCGCACCCCAATATGGCGGGCGGGCGCTGCGGCCCGGTGCTGCTGGCGCTTCTAGCCGCCTGGGTCTCAGTGGAGGAGGCCCGCCCGGAGCAGGCTTCGCTACCGGCTGAGCAGAGCATGGTACTTCCTATGACTGCCTCCAACTGGACGCTGGTTTTGGAGGGCGAGTGGATGCTGAAATTGTGAGTGTGCTTGACCGAACCGCACGCCACATTGTCCTCTCGGGCGCCGCTCTCCTAGAGCCGAGCGGGCCGCTCGGGTGGCCGCATTACCCCCGGGGGTCTGCCGCAGGCCCCGGGCACGCTTTGCCACCGGGCCGGACTAATCGCGCTGCGCATGCGTACCCGGTCCTCCGCGGTGACAGCTGAGGGTGAAGCGCATCCCCTCCATTCCCTCATCTTGCTTGCCGCCTACTGTAGGGACGTGTTTTGGGATGGGGTGGGTGAGCAGCTTATCCAGGGGAAAGTTTGGGGAGGAGGGTGGAGGCAATCTACAGGAAAATAGCGTGCTTTTGATGTGTGTGTGTAGGTAGAGGAGAAAGGGCGACCATTCAATAACATTTTTGAGCAGTACAGATACGTAGCGTGGGCTAGGCAACGTGTTTGCAGAATGAATAATTGTAGCATGGTGAAGGACAGGCCAGTTTGTATAAAGTATCTTGGTCTTCAGTTTGAAGATCCTGAGATATCATCGGGAAAAAGCAGAAAGATGGATGCTTCTAAAGCTTTAAAACAAGATTTCAAATAAATGTTGATACTTGTTATTTTTAGAGGTAGGACTTTATGGGTAACTATAACTTAATTGTGCTAGTGTCATAAAGAAAAGGACATTAGTAAATTCCCCCTTTGAACAACAGAAAGTAAGTTGTGGATAGCGCCTTTGCTTTAGAAGATGGAAAAATATAGTTTTGAATTGGGTGCAGGCGAGGGATTGTTCATCATAGATTAAAATAACTTGTGCTAGGAAGAAAGCGCTCATTTGCAACATTTGAAGAAAGCCAGGGGCAGATGTTCGGATAGCCTTGAGAGACAACCAATGGTGGGTTTGCAGAGAAAAATGAAGAGTGGAGAAAAGATCACTGAGACCACATCTTCTTAGCATGTGGTTTCAGCAATATATATACTTGATCACTGCTATTTGATACTTAATTTTCCGTTGAGGACACAGTCACATAACTGGAGCTTCCCTTTAGCGGAGCTACCGCTAAATTTCGAGCTTTTCAATATAGATGCGAGCAGATGTCTATGAAGTTCAAACGTCCCTGTGAGACTAGGGCCTCACATGCCCGTTACCCCTCAAATATACATTTACCTTTTGGTCACAAAGAACGGGATATTTTAGACCTCGAAGTAAAAACTTTGAGATCATAATAAATCAATGAATTTATTAAAGGATCTGTAGACATGCTCTTGTTAAAGTAAACCACTTAAATACTTTGAATGGAGTTGAGAAGGTGGGGCTTTTTCTGGACTGTTGTGTTTATAATAATTGTAAAAGTTTAGAGCGGCTGCATTTTGTCAGTACTACAGACACTTCTTTTTTTCAGTAAGTGCTTATAAAATGGAATTTTCCTATATGTCAGTTTTCTGATTAAAGGTGAGTTTGTGTGTGTACATGACGAAAGTGAAAGAAGTCAGCTCATTTATAGTTCCTTTCAGAATAGGTTTTTGTTTTTGTTTTTGTTTTTTTTTTAAGTAAAAGCACTAAAAACAGTAAAGCTGGGGCAAGTGTAAGCCATATTAAGCTTGTAAATAGACAACAGCCAACCGCACCTGTGCTTGACCATGCTGACAGTTTAAATTTTACTTCATAAATGTACAAATGTACATAAATGTAGTAATCAGGTGCTCTAAGCTTGTCATGTGTCTTTTGCATGGAATGGGTTTGGGTTGTGATGCACAATGAGACTTGTAACCCGGAAGCTGTGCAACACTTGAGATCAGTTTAGTATAAGTTCTCCTTTCATCTAGTACACTTCAAAATAGGAAGCAAGGCTGAAGAATTTCAACCATTGCATCCAGCTTTCTCTATACCAAACCTAGGTTCTTGTACTGAAGAAATATTGTGGATCTTGTCTATTTGTGACACTCCCTCTCTTGACTCTGACCAAATCGAACACAAAAATACAAAATTCATTACATTCTCAGTACCTTTATAGGCCTACTAAAATTTCATTTAAACAGCCAGTAAGTTATCAGATTTTTTCCTGATATATATATAACAGGGAAAAACAAAATGTGTTAGTACTAGTTTCCATATTAACACTTTATTTAGGTGAACTGGTCATAATAAATGGAAATTGTTAGAGGTCCATGTTGTTAGATGGTGAATTTAAATTCTCTAAAGAAGCAAGTTAGGCTTTTTGACAGTATTTAAAATTTGTCAGTTCTTTATTTATTCATTTACTTATATACTTTCTCTCTTCTGGGAATTATTTCTTTTATATTCTACTTTATACAAAGCTCCTATAATGCGGTTCTGTTATATTGGTATTAATAATTTAATTCATTTTTAAGGACCTAACAGTGTTTGTCTGCTGAGACTTGAAAAGCTTTTAGTGTAAAATTTAATTTGTTCTACTTGCAGTCAATTTTTTTTGGATCCTTGCAATTGAATTTCAGTTTTAAAAAACCACTTTGCTAAGGAGAAAGGTCAATTAAAAATGTATTCGCAATTCTGAAACCTTTTTTAAGATCTGAGAAATTCCTTCATTATTACATGTTTACATTTTCTTCAGTGCCGTGGAGTGATATATTCAGTTTTTATTTTTTGCCTTCATGTATGGTTTGATAATTTCTACCCCATTTCTGCCACATCTCTGTAATTAGCTTTCTTTGCTTTTTTCATCAACCTCTGATGGAAAGTTTGCTCTTTGTCAAGGTTAGGACACATCTAATCTTTAAAATGCCTTCTAATATTTTATTTCTATTTTTTCATACTATCTTTTTTTCAGTTGCCTGTAACCTTTTGCTATTTTAAACACTTACTTGGCTCCCATTAATCAGTCTTCGAGAAAACTACTTTTGTTCTTTTGAAACACAAAAGTATGCAATGTAATACATTCTCTGTACTGTTCTTGTGTCCCTCCCAAAAGAAATATGAAGATATCCAAATAACTTTAATTTTGACCCACCTACCTTTAAACTGATACCCAGAGAAAAATTTGTGTGTCTTTGGGGTAAAATTCCTCTGTAAAGCATATTGATCTTTATAAAGCACTACTATTTCTAACTTAGTTTTGGGATGATCATGTTTAAAAATTGCGAATTAATCATCTGGTGGTGAAGGAAGGCCTCATTTCTTTCAGTAGGACCTCTAGATTTTAGTATTGTTTTTCCAATATCCTTACTAGGCCCGAAGAGAACATCTTTAACTTTATTGCCTTACCTTACCCATGCTAAATACTTACAATTTCTTGTAGTGTAATAGATTGTCTTAATTTGGTGATGGAATTTTGGAGATAGTCATTGCTTATCATGTGTCATTTTCACAGTTGGGGATCTGGTAAGGTGAAAATCAGTGAGTTCTGTTCCTTGATTTCAAGAGACTGGCAGTCTCCTGTGCCCTAAAGGAAATAAATATCATATGTACCATTCATTTATTTAACAAATATTTACTGAATATTTTTTACCTGCTGAGCATCTGACAGTGGTTCGCACCAAGGGTTTATTGGTATTTTTGGATTGGGCAGTTCTTTGATGTGTGGCAATGGTTCACATGCTGTAGAACCTGTCTTTTTAGTAGTCATGTGACATCAAAATAATCTAACAACCGGCATCCTTTATGCACATTTCCAAATATGTCTGAGCAAACCCCTGCCCTAGGTACTGTTACAGGTATTTAAAAACATGCAAAAGTGGAATTCTTTTTTTTTTTTTAAAGATTTTATTTATTTTTGGAGAGGGGAAGGGAGGGAGAAACAAAGGGAGAGAAACATCAATGCACGGTCACCTGTCATGTGCCCCCTACTTGGGACCTGGCCCACAACCCAGGCATGTGCCCTGACTGGGAATCACACCAGAGACCCTTTGCTTCGCAGTCCGGCGCTCAATCCACTGAGCTTTACCAGCCAGGGCCAAGAGAGGAATTCTCAAACAAACATAGAAGTATTTGATATCTGATTGTTTCCACAAACTGTGTTTATCCACATCACCACCACCATCATCATCATCATTGCTGCCACCTTCATTTCAGTCACAGTGAAGTTATAGTGCTTACATCACAGGTACTTAATGCTGTCTTATTTGATCATCACACACTCAGGTATCATTCTCATGCTCATTCACTAGAGGAGATGAAAACTCGAAAAGATTGAAGCTTTGACCAAGGCTAGATCCTTAGATGTGGGCAAGGCCAGGACTAGAAGGCAGGCCTGAGCTTTGCAGTCTCTGATGCAAGCCAGGGAGAGTAGCTGGGTCTTTCGGGACCCTGAAGGAAGGCACAGAGTTTGCCTAATCAGTACTTAGGCTCTCAGCTAGCCAGCACCCTGGCCCACATAAGGGCAGTTCTTTTCCCCTTCAGAGGATTCAGAGGACTAACTGTTCATGGTTGTACCATGTTTCTAGTTTCTGCAGATGAGGAGCATTATTGCTGTATACTTACTCCTGACACACCGCACCACTCAAACAGGTGCTCTGACTTCCCGTCGCCCTGGGAAAATTCTTTTTCACTGTGCCTTGTTTCTCTCTAGCATGGCCCATATCACAATTAATTTATATGCTTTTGTATTGAGTTTTTGTCTGACTCCTCCTCTAGAGGATAAGCATTTGAGAAGAGGAACTTAAATTTTTCTTCCTATTTATCTCAAGAGCCTTAGTAACTATTAAGTACTAGATGTGTTCAGAACATCCTTTTTGACTAAGTGAATGAATAAGTAATAGACTTTATTTCTTTAATGAAGAGCTTCCTCAAGTATGTCACTGAAGGAAATACTTGTATATATTTTCTTTGGTACTAAGGATAATCACTTTCATCTAACGTGTGTTCATTGGTTTAAGAAACACTTATTGTGGACTAGGATCTGCTGGGCTTTGTTAAGGTACAAGCAATGCATCAGTTACTGCCGTAATGGAGTGTTAATTATAAGAGTAGTCAATTCCATTTTCTTTGGTAAGTGTTATGGTTTTCAGAGAGCTGTCAATTTTTATTTTCTCTCTACATTTTGTATAACATTTCCTAGAAA